TCAAACGGTATCTCTATTTGCAACTTTTTGTGAAAGCGCCATACTGCATTTCGTAGTCGTCGCACCATTTTACACTCCCACCAACAGTGAATAAGGGTTCCAGTTTCGCTACAACATCGCCACCATTTGTTGCTTTCTGTTCTGTTAAATTTTGCTATTCTGACTGGGGTTAGATATCTCATAGTTGTTTTGTTTTGCGTCTCTCTCAGAGTTAGGGATTTTGAACATGTGCTTGTTGGCCATCTGAATATCTTCTTTGGTGAAGTGTCTGTTCATATCCTGTGCCCATTTTTCAATTGAAACCTTTATCTTGTTGTGGTGCTCAAGTATTTTATAAATTCTAGGTGTAAGTCCCTTATCTGACATGTCATTACCAAATACTTTTTTCCCCAGTCTGTGGCTTCCCTTTTTATCCTGTTGGAGAAGTTTTTGGATGGATTCTTAGAAGGTCCCATTCTGGTTGTAGATTTTTCAGGATACTTGGAAGACTGATTATGTTGTAGATTAGGACTTAAGGGGTTCTTCAAAGTTTTTTTTAAATGAAGTTTATAGTCCTTGGTTTTAGGCTTAGGTTCATGATCCACCTAGAGTTGGTTTTTGTATATGGAGTGAGGTGTGGATCTTGCTTGAGTCTTCTGCATGTTAGTTTTCCAGTTTTGCCAACACCATTTGTTAAAAAAGCTATCGTTTCCCCAATTAACTGATTTCATCTCCTTGTCAACAATCAGTTGACCAGGTGATGGGCTGATTTCCGGGTTCTCAATTCTATTTCATTGATCTATGTGTCTATCACTGTACCAGTACCATGCTGCCTTAACCACTATGACAGTGTAGTAGGACTTGGAATCAGGAAATAAGATGCCTCCTACCTTTTTTTCTATTTTTAAGGAGTGCTTTGCTTATTCGGGGCTTCATTCCATTCCAAATAAAACTGGAGATTACCTTCTCCATCTCGTTGAAGAATGAGATTGGTATTTGTATTGGGATTGCGTTGAACATGTAAATTGCCTTTGGTAGTATTGCCATTTTCACAATATTGAGTCTTTCTATCCATGAGCAAGGGATATTCTTCCACTTCTCCAGGTCTCTTTTTGTTTCTTGTAGTAATGTTTTGCAATTTTTTTTAACAGATCCTTTGTTCTTCCGGTTAGATTTACCGCCAAGTATTTAATCTTGTGATTAGCTATTGTGAAGTGTATTGCTTTTCTTAGCTTTTGTTCTGTATTCTCTTTGTCACTGTGGAGAAATCTAACTGATTTTTGAACATTGATCTTGTATTCTGCTACTTTGCTGAATTGGTCAACTATGTTCAATAGTTTTGTTGCTGAGTCTTTAGAGTTTTCTAAGTATACTATCATATCATCTGCATTGAGAGATAATTTTACTTCCTCTTTACCAATCTGGATGCCTCTTATTTCCTTCTCTTGTCTTATTGCTTAACTAAAACTTCCAATACAATATTGAATAGGAGAGGTGATAGTAGCCCTTTTTTTTAAAATGCAAACCTTCTGGTTATTAAAAAGAAGCTTTTGTCATGGTGCAGAATTTCATTTAAGAACCAGTTTCATAGGGAAATTTGGTGGCCTCGTGGCAATAAACTGCACTGCAATCCCGAAGGCATGTGGTTCGAGGTAATCAGCTGCTCCAAGGGAGAATGATGAGCAGTCTCATAAAACCTGTGCAATTAACTGCCTCTGAAAACCCGCTAGAGGGTCAGCTATGGTTTGGTTCCAATTAAATGGTCAACAACAACATCACCAATACAAGAATAAGTTTCTTGTTAAAGGGAAGTGAGAATTCCAACATATGTTCCCTCATCTGTGTTACTGTTCTAGGGTTCTTTTCTAGGCTGTATCATTTATACATGTCAGGAACTATCATTGTGTCTTGAAGATATTATACTATTTTGTGGTATGTGAGAAAGGAAGTGAGAAAGGAATCTCTGAAACATTAGAGATTAGAAGTTAACATCTACTAGATTTCAGAAGAATAAAAGGAGGGGGAAAAGACTTTTCTTAAGAAAAAGGGGCAAAATGGTATTCAATAAGAAACTGAATTGAATATTGTTAGAAGTTTCCCCCCTCCCAATAGTATAATCAATTAGGTTAATTTTAAAAGCCATGAAATTTATTCTGCCAACCCGAAGACAAGGTATTTGAGTTTTCCAGCTAGTCTATGGGATAAAAATGGACAGTCTCCTTCCACATGTTGTATAGCTTCTGAAAAACCACTGAAGGGCATCTATGGGTCAATTCTGACTCTACAACACGTAATAACACAACAACAATAGATCTGTAGGTACTAAAATATCACCTTTAGAAATTCTACTAGTTCTTAACTTTACAATTTTCCCCAATATGTTTTCCCCATTACTCTTTTTAAAAATCTATTTTATTTAAGTGAAAGCTTACAAATTTCTTTGGTTTCTTCATAGACAATAATTTCCATTAATTATCAACTTCTAACTGTTAACTTATTTCAGTGTCTAAGTAAACCCTTGTGATATGTTGCTATTTGTTCCCTTCATCCAGTTTATTAATTTTTCCATAACTTTTTGAGGTTAGGGTAATAAAGTTGAATTGTGCAATAATATGTTTGTGTTTTTTATACCTCTTATAAAGTTGAGTCATGGGATCAAAATAAAAACTGAAAAGACTGAGATACAAAATACAGTATTACAATTCTGGTATCTTCATGCTGAGCCAAAATACCTCTTTTAGAGTTTCTGCTTGGTAAATAAACGTTACTTAAGGTTTATTGCACATTTTTCTATATTATTTCGGATTATTTACTCTAAAGACAAACTACAAATAAATCTCTTGCTGTTTTTGTTAAAGCCTAAGCACTTAAGGATGACAGAGGAAGAATTGATGCCTTTAGTTAATAGTGTTGGAGAAGGATGACAGAGGAAGAATTGATGCCTTTAGTTAATAGTGTTGGAGAAGAGTACTGAATAGCCCATGTACTGTCAAGAACAAACAGATATGTCTTGGAAAAGATACAGCGAGAGTGCTCCTTGGAGGAAAAGATGGCAAAGTTTTGTCTTTCATTTTTTTGGACATGCAGCAAGGTGAGGCTATTCCTTGGAAAGGGACATCATGCTTGGAAAGATGAAGGATCAACGAAGGAAAGGAAGACCTCCAATGAGATGGATTGACACAGTGACTTCAGCAGTGGGTGCAAGATAATGAAGATGGCACAGGATAGGTCAGAGTTCAAGTCAGCTGTTCATAGAGTTGCCATGAGTGTATTCATCTCGACAGCACCTAACAACAAAAACAAAAAGCAATTATTAATTGTTCTTTCAGTTTTGCTCTTTATAATTGAAAAATTACACTGGGCCTTACAGAACTTTTTGAGGACAACACCAATGATTAGTAAAAGAGACTGTAAGGAGTATATATGAGGGAAAGATTAAAGTCAAAGAAGTATTTATTTCTGTAAATTGCTGGCAGTAGATTGCCCTTCTTTCTCCTGTGCAGCTAATGGTAGATTTGAAGTGCCAGAGAGGCACAACTTTTTTATTTAGTAGTGCAACTCCCTATGGACTACACCTCCAGAGCTCCCCTAACAAAAAAGAAACTTTGACTATCTCTTGATTGAAGTAAATAACTGAATCAATGATATTGTGCTGACTTGACCTGGCATAAGTATAAATTTTAAGATCTCCTGTATGCTGAAGACACATGATCTTGAAGGTCATTTTCCTAGGGCGAGGCTTATCCACTGTACTCGAGATGTGCTAACCCCTGTGATTTCCCTAAATGTGGGAATCTCGACTGCGTAATTTGTGGTAGAGGGGTACATTTGTACAGGGAGAGTACATTTGTAAAAAAAGAGGGAGACCAAACAGGAAGGAACCAAAACAAACAGCAACCAAAAAACACCGCTTACTTCTAAAATTGAACTACTAATCTTCCTTATGTCTTGGAGAGGGTGCAGCTGGAATGCTCTTTGGAGGCATGTTGCCATGTTGCTAAGAGGGCCTGTTCCTTGGAGAGGGACATGATGGTAAGGGTGGAGGGTTGGCAAAGGAGAGGATGACCTTCAACCAGGTGGATTGACATGGTGACTGCCTCAATGGACTCTTATGTGTCAGAAAGTGTAGATATGGCACAAGAATGGAGCCAAATAAAATGAATGAAAATTCATGTAATTACTGATATAATAAATAATAAGCAAAAAATGATATGAACTATTTTAAGCCAATTATTTTAAAATAAAATAGATAAAAAAATATAAAATATATTCTAAAAAATAAGTTATTGTGAATAATGCTACTATGAACATAGGTGTACAAACACACTCAGATGCCCATCAACAAATGAATGAATTGAGAAATGTGGTATATTCATATGATGAAATACTATGCAGCACTAAAGAAAAATGATTTCGTAAAATACTATATGACATGGGAGCATCTAGAGATCATTATGCTGAATTAAATAACTCAATCTCATAAGGACAAACACTGCGTAAGACTATTATTGTGAAAATAGAAGGATAATTGAGCAGAATGTGTATAAATGTTCAAAAAGGGAAAGGGAAAAGAAAAAGGGGTTGGAAAGGGGAAGGGGAAAACTAGGATAGCATTTTGTTGTTTAATCTGTCTTACCAATAACTGTACAAAGTGAAGCTGCTTTGAAATTGGTATCACAAAATGTGCCAAGAAGCTGCGCTGAAACCCAAAAGTCCACCAGTGACTCCACAGGAGAAGAATGAGAAATCTGCTCCTGTGCAATTAACTGCCTCTGAAAATCTGCCTGAGGTTCAGCTATGGGTTGGTTCTGACTCTGTGGTACACAGAAACAACAACAACAACAACAGTGTAATACTAGTTCTTTGAATGAAAGGGGAACAATTACTATTTTCAGTTGTACATTATAAGGCATATTTAAGGGTTTGGGAATTTTTTTTCTTTTTAAAATAAATTTATAGGCATAGATTTTTTTTCCAAATTTTGACTAACATCTTCTAACGATTATTTCTTTTTTTGATAGAATGAGCATGTTGATTATGTAGATGTTGGCGGAGCATATGTGGGACCAACCCAGAACAGGATTTTACGGTTATCCAAGGAGCTGGGCTTGGAGACTTATAAGGTGAACGTCAATGAACGTCTTGTTCAATATGTCAAGGTAAGCCTGGTCTTGTAGTCAAAACCAGTGGGAATATTTTGTTTTAGAAAATGTTTTGTTTGTATTTTAGTTATTTTCAAGATAATAATAAAAATTGTTGTTGGTGTTGTTGTCATGTGCCATCAAGTTGGAATTGACTCATAGTTAAAAATCTAGTATATTTTCAAACACAATACAGTATACAGGAAGAGATTGCCCATTTTTCTCCTGTGGAGAAGCTGATGGATTCAAAGCACATGCCTTTGGATTGGCAGCTCAACTGCATACCACTAAGCCACCATACCTCTTGGTTTTAAAGGGTATATTATCTTTTTCTCCTTTTCTTTCTTTTTTTTTAAAATCCCTTTGAACTCCCAGAATCACTGCAAGAAGTTTCAGTTTGGCCCACTTCAATGCCACCCACCTTCATAATCTGTACATTATTCTCCTTAAGTCCAACCAAAGTAAGAATGGGAAGCTCTTTGCTCCTTTCGGTAATTCCAACTGCAAGCAACCCCTGAGACACTAATAAGGCCTAAGGGAAGATAGTGTTTGAGCTTACTTCATTAAACTTTGAATAGATTGTTCTAATTTTTACTTGGCATTCCTTTGAATGCTGATAATACCTTTGTACTTGGCCTTAACTCTCTGGAAGGCTAGGTTAATTGTATAGTTTCCTAATGTCTAAACAAGAGATTCTTTAAACTTTAGCTGCTTGGGTCCACCTAAGAAATTGCAGCTGTTTTTAGTGGTTTGGTTTGTTTTTGGTTGTGTGGGTTTTTTTTCTTATTGAAGCCAAATATAGAGCAGTTGGAGTCTAGAAATGAGTCTGGAGAAATTCAGTTTCTGATCTGATGTTGAAGTTCATTTCCTGAAACTGGTGTCTCTAGAACAATGGCCATTTATTCATTTTAACATCAGGATTCATTTTCATAGCTTCTTCTTAACAGTTACTTCTACCACTTACTACAATGCAGGCAATCATTGTGGGTTAGGAGTCTGCAAGAACTTTCAGAGATATTTGTGCACACTAATGCCCACATGGATGAGGAATTCTGGAAAAGTGTAATATTTGGGATGCTTAGTAGGGCCTGAAAGAGACATAAATGTAAAAAAATAGAACACAAACAAGCCAGAAAACTTTTGAGAAGTTTATGATTTCAAAAGTCAAAGGAAAATAAAAAGTGTGAAGAGCTATTAAAAATGGTAAGGAATAGTGACTTCAATAGGCCAAAATAAAAAAGAAAGGCAAACTTGTTTCTCCCACTTTCTCTTTTCAACCTGGTATGATGTTGCTTCCTTGAGCTGGTAAGTTACAACAGTAATAATAGTTGCTGTCATTCTTGTTTTTGTTGTTGAGTACCATCAAGTCAGAATCGACCCATAGCTGACCATCCAGGGGGATTTCTGAGGCTGTAAATTGTACAGGAGAAGAGTGCCCCTCCTCTCGCAGAACAGCTGGTGGATTTGAACTTTGTGCCTTCAGAATTGTAGTGCAGTTTCTTACCAATAGGCCACCAGAGCTCCCTTAGTGAGCACTTTTTACATGTGTTATCACAGATACAGAACGAACTCTTTTTAATTACTGATGAAACTGACTACACACATGCTATGAGAGTGCTCCCCTCATTGGAGCAGTGATGGCTAGCTGTTGTTGTTGTTAGGTTCCATCAAGTTGAGTATGACCCATAGTGACCCTATGAACAACACATCTAAACCTTATCCTATTCTGTGCTATCCTCACACTTCTTGACACGCTAGAGACCTTTGTGTCAGTCACTGTAACAATCCACCTGTTTGAGGGTTTTTCTCACCTTTACCTTTCCAAGTATTATGTCCCTCTCCAAGGAATAGCCCCTCCCAGCAACATACCTGAAGCGTAGGCAAAGCTTTATCATCTTTGCCTCCAATGAGCACTCTGAATGTACCTTCTCCAAGACATATTTGTTTGTTCTTTTGGCAATCCATGGGATGTTCAGTACTTTTCTCCAACACCGCAGCTCATAGGTATCAATTCTTCTGTCATCCTTATTCATTGTTCAGCTCTCAAACGCATAGCAAGTGATTGGAAAAACCATGGCCTGGATCAGAGGCACCTTCTCCTTAAACTGACATTACTCTTCAATAATTTGGAGAGGTCTCTAACTGCAGACTTTCCCAGTGCAATATGTTTCCTGATTTCCTGACTACTGGTACTGAGGGCATTGACTGTGAATTCAAGTAAGATGAAGTTGTTGATGGTTTCAATTTTTTTCTCTGTCTATCATGATGCTGCCTAAAGATTCAATAATAAGAATTGTTTTCTAGACATTGAGATGCAGTCAGTATTGAAGGCTGTATTCTTTGATCTTCTGCAACAAGTGCTCCAAGTTTCTCTTACTTTGAGGAAGCAGGGTTGTGTCATTCGCATAATGCAGGTTATTATTGAGTCTTCCTCTGATCTTGATGTCACATTCTTTGTCATAGATTCCACCTTCTAGAATAATTTTCTCAGCATACAGATTGAATAAGTATGGAGAGGCAATACTGCCCTGGCACATACCCTTCTTAATTTTAAACCATATGTTGTTGTTGTTAAGTGATGTTGAGTTGTAGGTGACTCATAACAACCCTATGAATGAAAGACCTGAACACTTGTATAACTTTTATCCTTTTTTCAGGTTCATAGGATTTCCAGAGGCAAGCTATTTTGTAAGTGGATGCCACTCCTACTTCCAAGCTTGTTTTAATTGGGGAGCGCCACCAAACACTGTCCACCATGAATAACCATTATCGCAATTGCCACATCAGTGTCACAGTGTTCATCTTCAAAGCAACCATGAGTTACCTCTGTACAAGCTATTTTGGACATGGATGCCACTCTTGCTTCCAAGATTGTTAGTGTTCTTAAAAAATTAAGAAGGGGTGGCTGGTGAGCACTGTAATTTAGCCATATTTGTGTGTTCTGAATTCCTGTGGTTGCACATTGTGGTGTAGTAGTTTAGGGCACAACTGGTCCTGAAGGCCACTAACCCACTGCAAAGAAACTATTATTGAAGACATGTTGTCTCCTTATTTGACACTACCAACACACATAGATACACAAAAGAAGGTGGAATAAAACCATCATGTAAACTAGTTTGTTGATTATAGTTCTTCATTACTGAGTTCCTAGCATCTTCCATTCTCATACTCTTCACCTACATTAGTTCATTTAACTCATAGAAAGGATTTTACAATACTTAGGTATGACCTTATATCATAGGATGGGTCAAGCACCTACAGAGGCTAATAAGGGAGGAATACATTCAAGACCTTTCCACTTTTTCATGCTGGGTGTTTTTTTTTTGTGTGTGTGTACAATTTTAGAGTTAGGGACTTTGATTTGGCTTTGCAATCCAGGAGACTTTTACAGGTTGTGCTTGTTCATCTCTTCTTTGGGGCTCTGTTAGCATCATCCTGTGTCCCTGCATGCAGCAGTAAGAACATTTTGCTGTGTCCTTTTGCCTAAAAGCCTGAAAGAGCAGTATAATTAACTGCTGTAATACATTCACTGTATCTTGGTTATTATATCATAAATGTTTTAACCATATAAAGTGCCATTTACATATCTGACAAATGTTCAACTTTACTTTGCTTTAAATTTTAATGCTTACTTACAGAAAACCACTTAGGATGCCAAGCATTGTGATGTTTTTTCCCCCATTGTATTTCATTAAAATATGATCTCTGATAAGGAAAACCTAGAGAATGGAAACATGTATGTTCACCCAAGTTAGGCAATAATGTCGAGGGGGGGAAAGTAGTTATTCTATCTAATGGAATGCTTCATTTTGCTAGTGTGTCTTATAAATCATGTCATTTATATTATGAGATATAGTGCAGTCGATGTTTTGTTGTGACTAGGAAACTGTAGTGACAGTGGTGGTTCAGTGGTAGAAGTCTATCCTTTCATGCAGGAGACCTGGGTGTGATTCCCAGCCAGCACACTTCTATGCACTGCTATCACCCTGAGTTACTGTGATGTTTCAGTGGAGCTTCCACATTGAGATGGAGTTGGAAGAAAGACCTGATGGCCTACCTCTAAAAATCCACTAAGGAAAACCCAATGGATCACAGTGGTCTGATCTGCATCTGATCATGGAGATGACATGAACAGCCTCCTTTCTGTTTGTTGTGCATAGGGATACCTGTGAGTCATAGGCCTTCTCTAAAGTAACTAACAATAACAGGAAACTAACAGAAAGAGACTGAGTTATAGAAAGGCAGGAATACATTCAGTTAAACAAATATCCCAGGAAAGACGACTGATAAATTGTTGTTGTTGTTATGTGCCATCGAGTCATTTGTGACTCATAGCGACCCTATGTACAACAGCCCTAAACCGTGCTCTAATCCTGTGCCAATATCATTGCCTCTGACACACTCATCCCGATTACCCCAGTCACTGAATCAATCCACCTC